AAATCTTTTTGAAAATAGCTTTTGATAAAATATGCATTTAAGGGTATCGTCTGAAACTTTACCATTGTTTTTGTGGTCAGATTCTACCTATCCTTTTTACCTAACCTACCTTGAATATTTGTTTGTAGAAAACATTTTGTTTTTATCAAGAACTCAAGAAACACAATGCAACTTCACTTCTTGTGTTTCTTCAGGTATGCTTTCAATATGAGTAATGTTGCTATAAAGCAAAGAAAAACAAAGATACCAAATACTAAGTTAAAAAGAAAGGTAAGGAAGTAGAATGAGAATGAAAAATTCACTTGGTCTAAGTGTCATAACATACTTGATACAAATTTATTTTTATTTTTTTAATTATAAATCGTCAAAATATCTACTAACAATAGAGAAAATTGAACACGTATCGTGTCAATAATAATTTTTTTAAAAAAAAATCATCAACAACTACAATCGTAACACGTGAACGTGTCCTATAATATAAGACAACTTAGATCTGACTTGTGTTTCGACATGGTTTTAGTTGACATGTGTCTTGGCATGGACAGAACCGATACTCATTATAATTGGTCCACGTGGTGAAGCTTTTGCACCATTTCCCGTCAGCCACTCTCCCTTCGCTTTTTCTTCTTCCTTAGTCATATTTATAGTGTCAGAGAAATCAAAAAAATATAGAGAAACTGGTGAAAAAAATATATCATTTTACAGCAATGATTTTGTTGGTTTGAGAATTTGGAAGGTAGGAAAAAGCTATTTCGTATTAAATATAAATATTAATATATTTTTAAATATTAAAATAATTTTACGTTTTAGGAAAAATAATTGAAGGAAACCATAAAATCTGAGTAAGAGTGGAAGATCTTGATTTCATCTAACACTTCAACAGCAAAAGTTAGTAAAATTTAAAATTATAATAATTTTTTTGTATTTTTTTGCATGTCTAAAATAAGAAAATAGAAAAATAGAAATTTATATTTTGAAATTAAAATTATAAGATATGTAATTAAAATATATATTACAATATTTATATTATTTTAGTTTTTTTAGGTAGAAAATTTTATTTAAAAGTAAGACTCATGCTTATATTATTTAGTATTGTAAATATTATTATGTTAAAATAACTGAATTTTAAACATATATAAATATGAATAGATTGAGAAATGTAAAATAATCAAATTAGATAAATATATGGATTAGAATTACATGTGATTGTTGCTAGATTAATAAAATAAAAAAATATTTGTGAAAATAAAATTGAAATGATAAAAAAGAAATTTGTTAATTAATAATTTTACATTGATAAATAAACTGCAGTTGTTAATTTTGTAAAAAGAATAATAAAAAATAATTTGTCACATAATTAAGAAATAGCAACTAATTTATAATTCTGAAATTAAGAAACAAAATTAGTCATCATTTAATTATAAGTTAGATTATTTAGAAAAATCAAAGAGTAAAAAAAATAATAATCTAAGTGAAAAAAACACGAATCTATAAAATATTACAGTTTAGTTATAATATACGTATTTATTTAAATTTAAAATTATAAAATTGTAATTATAATATGTTATATAAGTAGTTAAATGATAATAAAAATTAAAAATTTATATAAATATATGGTTTAGAATAAGAAGTTAATTGTTAATAAATATAGAAAAAATAATTAGTAAATGTTAAAAAGGAAGAATAATACTTAAATATTTGATGAAATTAAAATGGAAATTATAATGAAGGTGTAATATATTCATCACAAAATTAGTAATAAATATATTTGAATATGTTAATTTAAAATAAAAATACTAAAAATAAAATAAATAATTAGTAATTTAGAGATCTGAATCTTAAAATTAATGTTATTTATATGAATTTGATTAATAATAATAAAATCAAATATATAAATGTGTAATCATTGATTATTGAAAATTTCAAAATAATCAATTTTTATGTTGTAGAAATGCTAATTGAGGTAAATTTAGTAAAAGAGTCATTTTTGTTAATACAATAATTCATAGACTCCATTTAAGGTAGAATTTGTTTAATAATAAAATAAAATTATTTTTGTTAATTTTACATTACTTACATTTAAAATATGAAATTTATGTTTTATTTGTTTGAACAGATTTAAGATGACATCATCTTCGTCCCATAGTAGGATGTTAAATCCTGATCTTGAAGATGGTTTATTATTGAGCTATCAGTCTATTCATGTTTTAGAGTATATTTGGAATGGTCGTGAATACCCAATTTTGAAAGTGAGAAGATGTTACTTCATACCTGCTAGCATGAAGGGAGTTCTCGTAGAAATTCTTCCTCATTTGACATTAGCAGAATTTGCTGAAGTTGCACAGTTGATGAGCATTCCTGTTGACCACTAGTTGATTACAGCTTTGGTGGAAAAATAGAGGTAAAAAAACCCATATGTTTCACATGCTTTTTGGAGAGTGTACCATAACTCTTGAAGACATCGCTATTCAGATGAGTCTTTATATTGATGGAAGGTCAATTATTACCCTATGGAGGTGACAAGATGCAGATCATTAAGACTTTGCTGGAAATTAGACCACATAGTTCAGCATTTATGGGTTAGACAAATATTTTTCCCATTTTGGCTTACACAACCAAAATACCCTTCAGCTAACTCAATTTATGTAGTTTCCACTCTTTGCATTAACTAAAATTCGTAAAATTAATTTAAAAATTACATTATTACTAAACAGTCTCAATTTTGTATGTATCTTTCTTTTTAACATCTCAAAATAATTTCACATTTTATCTTAACCATCTTCTTATTCCATTCAAATATTATACTCTTATTTCCTTCATACACAATTCCATTCCAATATAAAATGACTACAATTTTAGTCATCTTGCATATCAAAATAAAAATGAACTAAAAAGACTTAGGAAAATAGATTAACTATTTAAACAAATAATAATAGAAAATATTAAAAACACATTAAATTAAAAGAGATAATAATTTACATTTTCAATATTGTACTTATACTAAAAAAATTTTCAAAGCTAATTTCATAAATTAATAAACACATCAAAATGTTCATTATAATTACAGATCATTAATTTTTCAATATATTTATAATAAATTTAATAATATAATCTAAATCTTAATTACAAAAATTAAAAAAATTAACCTTTTAAATGACTACTACAAAATAAGCTTATTCAATATAGTAAATTTTTCTTAACCTACTAATTCACAAATGTCTAACGGTTCTTCATTTAAATTTTGTGAATCAATCATTATGTCAGCTAGTATATATATATATATATATATACTTTACACATTGAGTAAATACTAATAGATAAAATAGTGTATTAATTCTTTTACTGCAAGGTAATGGTGTGTTCGGAAGCGTGGAGCATGAGTTAAGTGTCAAAAATTAGTGTGCTGACACAAGTGTCAAAATTTTATAAACCGACATATAAGAATTGTACTCTTTTCAACTGACACTCTTACCACGTGACAGCGGATTATGTTAGTGTCAGTTGTTACTTTGCCAATACTATTTGTGTCATCATTTCGTTAAACAACACTACCAAAAGAAAAAATTTAGTGTGTCGACAATATATTTTTCTAACACTTTATTACTCAAATATCACTCAACATAATTGTTTGCCAGTCACCCTATATGGAGAAATAGATTCTCCATTCACCCCATTTAAGCAAAAAAAACCCACACTTTGGAGGGGATGTTGCTAAATAGCTTTAACCAGCCTAGAGGGCAAAATATATTCAAGACTTGTGTCAGCTTGACTAACACTTTAGGTTTTCTTTAGATCCAATGTAGGACGGAGTAACCATCAACCATCGTCATTTGGGTTCTTTATTTTGATCTAACAAAACACAAGATAAAGATTGACCGTGATGAATAAGATGAAGATCAACCTAATTTTAGGGAATGCATTTCTATGTCTACTCTTCTCAACTAACGCCAACTACGGAACCTCCGGCGCAACACACCACACTGTAGTACAAGTGCAACGAAAAATTGCCTACTTTCAGCAGTAATGTTTTTTAATGTCAACTTTCCGCCCCATTTTATTAGTAAACATGAACACATTACAAACAAAATCTTAAAGTTCAAAGCTGATAGATCGTTGGTAGTTTACAATTTCTTGATGTCAAACTTTGTTATTTTGGCTTTACAAGTTAGAATATTTCAGTGTTTGACATGTTTCACGGATAAGCCAACTAGGCAATAACAGATTATGAAATATAATCTAGCATTAATAATAAGAGCCCCATAGGGTGGCTGGGGGAGGAACCCTTAGCTTCAATAATTTGGCTACCTTTCTTTAATATTGATTAAAATAGCACCTTATCTTAAACTATTATAACTAAGCCTGAACTGTTTCCAGCTTGTCTCTGGCCCCCACTCTTTTTCCACCAGAGACAGCAACCATCACAGGATCATCCCTTTTTAGAAAGCAGTGGGAAAATTTGAGAAGGGTCCAAGGAGACATTCAGACAAGTCCAATCGACAAAGCAATAAATGGAAATTAATACTAGCAGCTGCTTCCGTAATAGCTAAGAATCCCGAGTCATGTCCATACACAATCTCACTACAGACACAAAGCACATCCCATTACTGTTACAACAAGAGAAAGAAAGCATGAACTCTCCACTCGGATTAAATTCTAGTTTAATTGAGCCAATTGCTAGCTTTTGACACAGGGCAGCTTCATCCCACTGGTGGAACTGCTTTGTTTACTCAATGGACTGCTCTTCTAAAAGTCTTATACTTGTTAGTATGATGCTTCAACGAAGATAAGGAACCTTTTTCTGTCAAAAGTTGCGATGCAGAAACCAATAGCAAATCCTAGATATAATAAAACCATAACAAATTCACACGATTTATCTAGCCTGTCAATTTTTAATCATAAATGGGACACAGTTGAGCAAACATTTTAATCACTATTAACACACTATTATCTACAAGATGAAGAACTTTTATTTTATTTTTCCCTTTTTGCAGGTTGCTATAACCAAGTGGATTAACAAAAAGAAAAAGTTTAATATCTTGTATACTTTTAGGACCGAAATTTTAATCTTCACTTTAGAGGTGAATCACTACATATTCATTTGAACCTTCGTGGATGAGAATAGTGCTGTCTACTAAAGATGTGACCCCAACAAAACAAAATATTGCGCAATTAAAGCATGCAATCGGTTAATGTCTGTACTAGGGCAGTTCCTTTCTTGTAATAGATCTGTACTTTATCTAACAAGAGTCAACCAACAAGTGAACGAGGTCTCAGGAGAATAACAGAAAGAAAGTTCAAAGGGTAATTCTGATTAAGAGTGGATAGCTGTGACCTTTCTCATAACTGGGCCAAGAGTCCCTATTTTCATTCAAGAATTCCTCATGACGTTTCCAGACTTCTTTGTCATAGTTCTCTGTTACACTGAAACGCAGGCCATTTTCCTTAGCCACCTCCAAAAACAGATCCAATGAGTTGCCTCTTTTCGGACTTAAAAATATAGCCTCAGATGATCCTGCTTTTGATAATAAATGTTTGACAATACGAGCAAGGCCTCTGTGGAAATCCTTAAAGAAAGTGCTGTCAAAATGATCCAATCAATTTCATAAATATAAAGATAAGACTAGCATGAAAACCAAAACAAAGGCAAGTCAAGCCGCATGCATGTGAATCTGCTGATGCATTTCGTACAACATAATACTTCCTTTTGTCCACTTGAGAATAAATATCTGGACATATCCGACTTTAAAATTGAAACTGATAAAAAATAGTTACCGAAAGAAAACACAGAAAAGTAACTCATTTGCCAACTGATATGATTGCAAAAATTTGTTCATCTGAAAAAAAAAAGTTTTGACCAGATAAACCAAGATTTAGAGTACCATGATGTTAGGGTGACTGATATAGGCCCATTAGTGAATCATCTAGTAAGACCCAAAATCTAGTGTGTGTGTACACTGGGAAGGGCAAGGAGACACGTGTAAGGGAGTTAGTTATATAGGAAAGGAAGAGAGAGAAGTTTGTTATGAAAGAAAATAATTAGGGAGGCAGTTTGTGCCTAGAGGGGGAGGCTCTTGGTTCTCTGTAAACTGAGAGTGCTACTTTTATACCTTCTTTCATATATCATACATTTCATATACATTTACATTACTCCATTTCTAATCTCTTCTGTGCTTTACAATTATTTGCTATACTTGTGTTGGTGAACTTAACATTGGTCTGACCTGCCAGATGCAAATGGTGACCCGTCTTCAAGCTCGTGTCGAAGCAAATGAGTCATGTTTGGAATCAGTAGAAGCTACAGTGCCGAATTTGCTAAAGATGATTGAGGGTTTACAAGACACGATATCAAAGGAGCAACAAGAGCAGTCCAAATTTCACGCGCTTATTGCGAAATCACTCAAGGAAAATGGTTGTTGTGTGTTGGGTAACAAGGTTGATGAATCCACTGGTTGGAATTATGATTGCTTCAGGGTTGATAACGATGCTCAGATTATTGCCAAAAGAGTTGAGTTGCTGGCTTTTGATGGAGCAAATCCTCATGGATGGCTTACAAAGGTAGAAACATATTTTCAAATCAATCAAATTGCAGCAGAATCACGAATCCCAATGGCACAGATTGTGTATGGATGGGTCAGTGATTTGTTGGTTCATCATTCTCTTGGAAGTCTATCCTGATCTACAATGGGACCAATTCAAGGATGAGCTAATGGAGAGGTTCAGTGGGTTTGAGGTGCAGAATCCTTTTGAAGAACTTGCTACACTCACTCAACGTGGTCCAATGCAGGAATATATGAGAAGTTTGAAGTATTAGCTGCATTAGTTCCTCATTAACCAGAGCAACAATGGAGGCTATTTTCTGAATGGCTTGAAGGAGGACATACGTTCATGGGTTCATAACCCTACGACATGCTTGAAGGCAATGCAGTTAGCCTGTAATTTGGAATTGGCGTTGTACAAACAAGGTGATCGTATTACCCAAAGCACAATTCCACAGGTGAGTGCAGGACAGTGGAACCAAAGCGGCTGGGGTGCTGTGAAGCTTAGGGAAGGTGCTGCTGCTATTCCTCAACCCAATCAAAGAGAACACTGTGTTTTCGACTCTAAGAAACAGAGTGAGTGTGGTGTAAGTAATCTGACCAACAAAGTGTGGGAAGAACGAAGAAAAAAAGGCCTCTCTTTTTAATGTTGTCAACGTTATTGACATTACACAAATGTCCTAATGCCAAATTGAGAGTGCTGATATTGGGGAGAGGATGAATGGTTATCGAACGAAGGAGAAGGAAAGGTGGAGGATGATAAAGTGGAGCAAGAAGTGGTAGAGGCAGAATGTAGGGTGCTGGCTACTAGTCCAATTCTAGAATTCTTTGAAATGACAAATGCAGGCAGCTGTGCCTTAAAAACTTCTAAAATTAGCAGGGGTCGAATTTTGATTGATAGTGATGCTACAGACAATTTTATTTCTCCTAAATTGGTGTCATCCCTTAGGCTCAATTGTCATGGGCATTGTGAATCTAAGGGGGTTCATTTAGGCGACGGTTGTAAGCTGCTAGCAAAAGGGAAATGTGCTGGAGTGGAAGTTGTGGTAGGAGATTACCACTGTAATGTTGATGCTTGGGTGTTAGACTTGGGAGGAATTGATTTGATTCTAGGAGTTGTGTGGCTGAAAACCTTAGGAGATGTTCATGTTCAATTGGGATCAATTGATCATGAAGTTCTGTAATGATGGGAAATGGGTGGAATTCAGGGGCTGTGACAGCATAGTGATAATGAGTTTGTCCTTCAAAAGCTTGTGGGAACCCAAGTGACTAGTTTGCAAAAGTTAAATTGCTCATCTAGGAAAATTGTAGGGGAATTAGATTGGGTGTGGTTCGAAGAGCAACGAAAGGAACTTAATCATCTGTTAGAAGCTTTTCAGGAGTGTTTCACAAGCCTCAAGAGTTTCCACCAAAAATGAGTTGTGATCATTCAATATCTTTAAATCCAGGGCTTTTTCATGTCTCACTCCTTAAGAAAACCATTGGTCTAGCTACCCAAGGTCAGCCTACGAGAAGGAGATCATGGCTTTGGCTCCTGCTATTGCTCACTGGCGGCCCTATTTACTTGGCAGGCCATTCAAGGTATTTACTGACCAGAAAAGTTTAAAAGTTTCTACTGCAACAATGAGTTACAACTTACAACTCCTAGCCAGCAGAATTGGGTGGCCAACCTGATGGGGTACAATTTTGAAATTTGTTATAAACTGGGAAAGGATAATAGAGTGGCTGATGCTTTATCTCAGGTGGATGAAAGGGGTGAATTTTGCAGCTTGTTGTCGTAACTGGTTTGGCAAGAAGGACAAGAATTGTTGCAAGAGGTGCAAGAAGATCCACACTTACAAAAACTGATTGTAGATTTACAGCATGATCTGCTAGCTCATCCTGGATTTCCATAAAGTTCATGGAGTACTAATTCACAAAGGGAGGTTGGTGATTCCTTCACAATCAATTCATATTCCTAAATTACTAGAAGAATACCATTCTTCTGCTGAAGGGGGTCATTCAGGATTCTATAGAACATACAAGCAAATTACAGCAAATTTGTATTGGGTGGGAATGAGGAAAAGAGTTCAGGAATTTGTTCAAACTTGTGACATTTGTCAACAGCAAAAATATTCAACTATTGCTCCAAGAGGATTGTTACAACCTCTGGAAATTTCAGAAAGGGTGTGGGAGGAATTGTCCATGGATTTTATAGCAGGGCTACCAAGGTCAAAAGGTTATGAGGCTATTTTGGTAGTGGTGGATCATTTGACAAAATATAGCCATTTTATTCCTATGAAGCACCCCTTCATGGCTTGTATTGCCATTGAGATATAGGAAATCATCCGGCTACATGGCTGCCCCAAATCTATTGTGAGTGATTGACCCTGTGTTTGTGAGCTATTTTTGGCAAGAGTTGTTTAAGTTATAGGGCACCAAGTTAAAAATGAGCATTGCATATCATCTGGGGACTGATGAGCAAACAGAAGTGATTAATAGGTGTTTGGAGACATATTTAAGGTGCTTTGCAGTGCAATAACCTCAACATTGGGTTCTGTGGTTGCCTTGGGCAGAGCTATGATACAATACAACATATCATAGTTCTACCAATACAACTCCTTTTGAAGTGGTATATGGTAGAAGGCCTCCTGCTGTGACGTGTTTCATTCCAAGTGAGGTGAAGGTTGAGGTTGTAGCAAGGAAATTAGTTGATCATGATGAGGCTCTTAGGCAACTCAAGTTTCATTTACTGAAGGCTCAGAACCTGATGCAGAAACATGCTAACAAAAGTAAATGTGTTTGAAGTGGGGGATATGGTGTTTGAAAAGCTGAGACCTCATAGGCAGCAATCAGTGGCCAAATGAATTAATCAAAAGTTGTCACATGTTATTTTGGACCATTTGTAGTGGTGGAAAAGGTGGGGGAAGTGGCTTACAGGTTGAAACTACCTGAGACCTCATGAATTCTTCTTATTTTCCATGTGTCACAGTTACAAAAAGCTGCAACTAATCACTTAGTGTAGACAACATTTTCCGCTGGTTTGGTGGAAGTGGAAGTGAATGAGCATTATGCTCCAGAGCTGTGTTAGCGAGTAGAGTGTTAACTAAGCAAGGTGAAAGAATTCAGCAGCTGTTGATTCATTGGAAAGGAAAACCAAGTGAAGAGGCTGTGTGGGAAGATGAGTTCTAATTCGAAGTCAATTCCCAGATTCAGTCTTGAGGACAAGACTGAGTTTGAAGGAGAAGACAATGTTACAGTGACTGATATAGGCCCATTAGTGAATCAAGTAGCAAGGCCTAAAATCTAGCTGTGTGTACACCAGGAAGGGAAAGGGGGCACATGTGTAAGGAGAGTCAGTTATATGGGAAAGGAAAAGGGAGAAGTTAGTTATGGAAGAAAATAATTAGGGAGGCAGTTTGTGCCTAGAGAGGGAGGCTCTTGGTTCTCTGTGAACTGAGAGTGCTACTCTTATACCTTCTTTCAGATATCACACATTTCATATACATTTACATTACTTCATTTCTGATTTCTTCTGTTCTTTATATTTATTTGCTACACTTGTGTTTGGTGAACTTAACACACGACTACCAAATACTGAAAACTTGTTCCAGCTTTGATCTTTATCCAAATTATCTAGGGGAAAAAATGCTATTGACGTGAAATGACATTTTCCATTAAGCGGATGCAGGCTTATAGCCATATCACTACAACTGCAGATAATATTTTCATCTAAGGATGGAAAAAAGCATAGACACTTGAAAATTCAAAGAAAATCTTACCAATCACTTGCAATAATGATATCAAATGTGTCTGCAACATTGGAAGTATCTTCTTGATTCCAGTGAAGCATCATAGACTTCACAACTGTATCCCCAAATGCTCCAGAATTGGCTTCAATGTTACGCTGTGTATCTGATAGTCATGGAAGAGCAATCCCATTCAACAAGAAAATATTTAATGACAACAGTATATTCTAAAAAGGGATATTTTTCAAAGCATTTTTTTTATAAAGAGCCTAGGCCATTGTGTTGATTACATGGAAAAAGAACTTTAGATTAAGTAGAAAGTGACAAACATTAATCATGTACAGGAGTGCTCAACCCAAAAGAACTGTAAAGGACACTGAAGCACAAAAGAGCGGATTAATACCAACAGACTACATGAGTGCTTTGAAAAAAAATATCTATAATTTGATAGTTGATTAGTGACTATACTTAAATGTGTCACTACTCCCTTCCAGCTATAAATGGTTCTACTAATACATTATATATTGATCTTCAGATGCAATGTGTCAAAATATCATATTTGAATAATCAGTTTAATCACTTGTTAACAATATCCTTCCCCAGTTTATACCAAAAGGATACAATCAACTACTTGTGGATTCCCATCTGAGATTACAACTTGGGATGCCTCAGTAGCAGTTGCAATAACAAATCCAGCCAAGCCATAGCCAGAACCAAGCTCGATAACTTTTTTAGACCTATATGAATTTAAATGCATACAAAAAAAAAAAAAAATTAGATGGAGAAGGTAACAGAAAAATAACAGTGGAAAAGATGCTAGCAATATACAGAATAAGATCTTCAGGAAAGAAACAAAATACAGTTTTTCAAACCTGAATGTATCTGCATGTGACAAGCAATAGTGAGCAAGAACATCTTCTGATGGCCAATTACCTGCAAAATATATCAAGAATTTATAAGCATAAACTGCAAAAAGAAGAAGTCCAGAATCAATATTCAGAAGACTATGAAAATAGTAAGTCATTGAAATTGTCAACTACGGAGTTTCATCCAAAAAGTAGGAACAGTTGAGATCCAATTCATTTTCTTTTAAATGAAAAAGGTGATCCAATGCACAAAGCTCCGACATACTAGGGAATAGGAAGGGTAGGTGCGTGCTGCCTTACCTGCTTAAGGGGAGAGGTTGTTTCTAGGATTTGAATTTGTGACCTCCGACCTCCAGGTCACAAGCAACAGTCTTACCATTGTGCCAAGGCTTATTAATTTTCTTTTAAAAATGCTTTAAAAGTTAAACAAAAATGTACTAGAAACACTATCACATCAAATTCCAGAACATTTGGGAAAATAACAATGTTTCTTGTAGAGAATAAAATGAAAAAGTACATCAACAGCAGATAAAATCTTATTTATTTTGGCATAAAATTTGGTTTACATGAGGTATTTCCAAAGAGCATCTTAGGCATTATACTTTCTATTCTCTTTTTTTTTTCCACAAAAGTTGACAAGTAACTAGGGAGACGTCCATGTCCCATCTCCCATGAACCACCCTCTCCTCCCCCCCCCCCAAAAAAAAAAAAAAAAACAGAAGAAGAGAATACATAGAACTTCCTAAAAGGATCATGCTTACACTGAATAGAAACCAATCCCCGAATCTTATACCAAATCAGCTACTAAGACAGAGAACTTCTTAAAAATAAATGGTTATGCTGCAACCAAATGCACCAAATTGTAGCTTATATTGATAATCAAATGAAATTGGTTCAAGTCCTAAAAGAAACACTTCCCTTCAATATAGAATATATAACGAGCTTGTAGCTCATGCGTCATTTCTTCTGACATGTGTTATTAAACCTTGTATTTTCACCAGGTAGGCAATATACGAGTGTAAATCTTTCACAGAAAATCAGCCAAACACCAAAAATAATATTTTATGCAAATATCATCAGTCCTTACAAGCTTAGAATAAAAAAGAATAAAAGAATCTAAGACGTACTTGTGAGTTGTGTGAGGATGATAAAAGAAACTTACACACAAGCCCAGTGTTGTCAACGTTGTATCTGTTGCACATCTCAAAATCACCGAGGTCAGCACGGTTGTCCACTCTTTGTCTGCAGAACAAAATAGACCAAATAGAAAACGATTCAAAGGCAAATATAAGTGTTCAACCCAGAATCTTTCATGAATTGCAATTATCATTAACTAGTACAAAAGCTAAACGTAAGGAATGGTGACAGGAAAATCAGAATCAATTTAATTTTGAGTATGTCTGTTTTGACAGAATTTACTTTCTGAAAACTATTTTTTCGTAATTTCTATTGCTTAGTGGAAACTGGAAGCAATTAGTCAAATGTACAATAAAACCCCAAAAGCAACCTTGGTTTCTTTTGCTAAGAATTCTATTTTAAAAAAAGCGAGTTTAGTTAACCTCATACCTCACTCTTTAAGGGCTAAGTTTAAACTCAATATGAAGGACTGAGGTTAAAATCAATTTAAGAAAATCAGAAAATTCTACTGTCATGCCGCAATCAGTGGAGAACTAAAACGAAAATATAAAACTGACGTCAAAAGCAGTTGAGGAGCGGCAGGGATGGGTAAAGTGTAACAAACGCGAGCGCCTCTGATGGAAGAACCATCGCGTTTATTCAAATCAGGTTCATCGTCGATTACATGAGAGGGAATCAAGTTGAATCCATGACTGGTCCTTCTTGAAATGCGCTTCATGATCATTTGTGATTGCTCATCTGCAAATAAAATAAAATTAAAGTATTAGTAGAAGCATTATGACGACGAATTCGAAGCATTTTGACGTCTGTGAAAACGAAATTACCTGAGTTTGGCGGAGACGAGTGATAGAGAAGCGCGCGACGGAGGATCTTCCATCTCAAAGAGGAAGCTTTCTCGTTCGTTCTGTTTTCCATGGCAGCGTTTCTTTTTCATTTCCCGTGAAAACTGGGAAGTGTCGATTTTGGGTGTTTATTTTCATTGACCGGTCAAAAATAATTTGAGATCTTATTTCAGAAACTTTTGTATTTATGCATTTCTCTTTGTATAAAATCTTGGAATTTAATTTTAAAAATATATAAAATAATACGAGACGAAATTGAGAAAAATTGTTATACAATTGTCTTCCATGATTTTGATCGAACACCTTTTTTTTATATTGTTTTTAAGGTGTTTGGCAATAGACAGAAAAGTATATATCAATTAATTTGATTGGTCATTTGATATAATATAATATAAATATGATAGATTTTTTTTATCATTAGTATAAATTTAAAAAAATTATCTTCGATCTTTCATTTTCTGTTATAATTTATTATGTTAACCATTTAAATATAAATTAAATAAAAAATTTAAATTAAGTGTGAGAGTTTTTTCATATATATATATATATCAAAATTAGTGATTACTAAATCTTATTTAAAAGTTAATTAAATATTACAAGAAGAGTTAAAAAAAAAATTTAAATTTTAAAAATTTCGTAGACAAAATTTTTAAATAAAAAGTCTCGTAATTAGAACATTATGATACAACTCAAAAATTTTAAATTAAAAATATATTATCTATTTTTTTATAAACTACTAACTTTTTTGTATCTCATTAATTAATTTACACTATATTTCAACATTTTATTTTTTTTATCGATAAACTAGAATGTTCATATAATAGCATAAGTCAAAACTGTCAATTTTTTCTTAATATCGAATAAGATTTAGTGCAAGTTCAATAACATTATGTGAAATGACCAACTATCTCAAGTTAAATGAGAACTGTACATTGTCACATTTTCAGCTCAAATTTCCTCGTCAAAGATCATGAGCAACTTATAAAAATATTGTTGATATTGGTCCATGCGGCGATATCAACCTTCCAAACCTTGTAGCAGACTATTCCCTCACTGATATGGATCTTACAAAGCGTCCAATGGATAACTCATAGTTCAATATCTGGAACACCCAATAAGAAAGAACTTGGATCATTAGATTCAAGAAGTGGAATATACTCTGATCCTCTTACATGAACACTAAAGCAAGCGATCTCTATTTTCATGAATCACTAAGTGGTAACAATGTTTTGTTCATCTCATCAAGCGTCAAAAGAGTTCCATTTTTACAGAAACTACAGAATGTAGCTGCTTCAACATACTCCTGTATCCCAGGTGAGTATGCTCGTCTTAGCTTCCAAAAATCGGTTCCCTGCAATTCTTTAACTAGTCGCGACATGTACTGATCTGTCACAGCAGCTAAATCCTTTTCTGCTTTCTCAAGGACTTCCACTTTATTATATTTGCTCATCCTGTGCACTTGAAATATGACTTTTTTGCTATTCATTGTTACATCACGACTGGCTTTGACCACTCTTTCCCGTTTGTCATTAAGGTCATCGAGATATCCGGCATATTTAGTAAAAACGTCTTTCATTGCGGGTTCAGTGGCTGGGGCTGTAGCCGAGGCCATGGTTCTTCCCCTCTCTGCGGCTCTCTGAAAATTGGACTCTGCAATTTGATGGACGCTTGAGGTTTGGATGCCATGAATATAAGAAATCTGTGTGAAGAGAGGGAACGCAACACCTACAACATATCGGTAGATGCACTGTGTAAAGAAGGAAAAGTGAGAGAAGCTGAAGATGTGTTAGCTGTGATGATAAAAGATGAGGTGAAACTAAATGTTGTTACTTTTAACACTTCAATGACATACAGAATGCAAAATATGTATTCAACAACATGATTTTTTAAGATTAAAAAAGTGCATGAAGGCATGAATCTCTTTGAAGAAATGCATCACAAAAAATATGATTCCCCGTAGAGTAACTTACAACTCCCTTATTGATGGTTTGTGTAAATTAGGGAGAATTTCTTATGTTTGGAAGCTTATTGATGATGAGATACATAATAGGGGTCAACCTGCTGATATAATTACCTACAATTGCATTATTCAAAAAACATGATCTTGACAGGGCAATTGCATAATTCAATAAAGTTCAAGATGAGGGCATTCATCCAGATGCATATACATACACACACTTATCGATGGACTTTGCAAGGGTGGAAGACTTAGGAATGCACAACATGTTTCTCAGGATATTTTGATTAAAGGCTATCGTCTTGATGTCTGTTATGATTAGTGGACTTTGTAAAGAAGGCTTGCTTGATGAAGCATTGGGTTTGAAGTAAAAAATGGAACACATTTGTTGCCTTCCACTGTAACTTTTGAAATAATTGTTCTCTTTGAAAAGAATGAGGATGATAAGGCAGAGAAACTTCTACATGAAATGGTTGCTAGAGGCCTCTTGTAGATTAAGTCTAGGTCAAATGCTTTCTATTTTCACATTATTTTGAATTATGATAATGACCATCAATTCTTTTGGACAGTTACACTTACTGCATGATGGGCTCACTTTCGCATTACTTTTGTTTAAAAGTCATATTTTGTTGTGTATATTTTCTTTTTGTACAATAACAATCTTTGATATATGAGTCTTGACATAAATATCATTTATCTGCCCAATTTACAGTTCATCTGCTGTGTATAATTTGAAGAATTTGTTCAATCACTGCTAAATAGTTAGTGCTTCAGATAACAAACCATGCTCAACCTAACATGAGTAGTTCAAATGCTGTATCTCTTATAGTTGACTCTATTACCCCTACCCATATTGGAAGTATCAATGGAACTTTTAATTTGCTTTTTATTTCTTTTGATCATTTCTTGACAAAGGTAAAAGTTAAAAACACAAGTATATTTTGTTTGCATCCTCTGAGTTGTCTTAGGTGTTACAGCTGTTTATATTTTCCTCGAGGTCATTGCTGCAAAATTAGTTGGAGCTTGGAATTTTATTTTTTTTCCTATTTTACTTATGATCATTTATTGGATACCTAATCCACTCTGTCAGAAATTCAGAATTAAAATATAAATATGATGTGAATATTGACTGTCGATGTCACCTGGTTTAATGAAACTTTAGTTTACTCTTTTTTCATATAGTTTTATTTTGATGTAATAAAGTACTTTATTCTTTTGTATCAGCAACTAGGGTGGAGTTACTTGTTACTTGAGGTGAACAAACAAATGCTAAAGACATAATGTATGCAGTTACTCCAGACAGTACCTACCATGTATGAGATTCAAAGTAGAAACACAGCAGTTTTTAGATGCTCAATAAGTGCAAAGAAGATTAATATATGATGAATGGGCAAAACTGCATGGTGAAGTATGGAAGCTGGCCTAATAGTTTTTCTAGTGCTTCCATATGTGTTTTGCATGGTCCTCTGTATGCATGTTCATATAAGTTGGGAGGCTAGTAATTGTTTGGTCACATGTCACATTATTAAAAGTTATTCCACAGCTTTGTAGGTGTGTTTTATATAGCTTATTTTCTTGGAAACAGTATGAGTTTATTGTATGATTAGCTATTGTGGCTCAAGGACAGAAGGGAAAAGCTGTATAGCCATCTTTCTCTCACTGTCTCTCTGCATCTCTGTGTGTGTGTGTGTGTGGCTTTTCTTGACAAAGGCATTTAGTTAATTGGTTAATTATCAACAAGTTCCTCCTGGATTACCTCCATTCAGTGATAAAACAACATAAGAATATTTCAAAATCTTGAGGTTAGAAATCTTCTCTTCTGCTTGTATTTGACAACGCCTGATATTTTTGTTCCTTCCAAATCTTATTCCTGTGCATACTTTCATCTATATTGTCGTGAGTGTAAAACTTAGTAGTTGCTTTGAATCTTCAATCCTATTCTCAGTGATGACCACTAATTTGCTGTTGCTAATCCCACCTTCACAGTTTTTGAACTTGATGCAACATTTACAAAACCATTTTAAACCATAGCAACCATGGTTGCTCCTAGCCACTGGCCCTGACATCCAATGTTGTTCTCACTTGTAACCAAGTTCCTGATTAGCAAATAATAATGTGAGCACATTAACCTATAACATGAACACATAATTTGACACAGCTTTTGGCATGGACATACATAACCAAGTTTAGAGATTTTTAAGTGGTTTCCTTAGCGTTGAAGATCATCCAATTCATATTCATTGTTACAACTACTTCATTGATGGCAGAGAGATTTGCTACCTAAAATATTAACAAGAACCAAACAAATTATAACATTGTTGATCATTAAGAGAGAAATGCAGTGTGCTTATACATTTTCATCTCGAGAGGTTTTGCCATTGCTATCATTGAGAAAGTTGGTCGAGTAATATCTAAGTAGTTGCTTGCTGCTCCCTCCCCAAGAAGATTTTCCTTCCTGTTGAGTCTCCACTCATTGCATGCCAAAGTTTCAAATTCTTCAATGATGTTTTGCTACTAATTAGCTTACTAAGAGTCACAGTCACAAACCTCTTAATATAATCAGTTTTACATACATTGCTATTGTTATTTTATTTGAAAATAAGTGGAGTAAGGTTCTTATTTTTGTGTTACATTTACAAGCTAAATTACTTAAACATTATTATTATTATTAGAAAGAATAGATATACCCACTTCTTCATTCCGATATCCTTACTGGTGTTAGGAAAATTATTCAGATAAGTGAAGAACTAGAGAAGAAAAATGGGATGGGAAGCAAGAAGTCCTGACTCTTATTTAAGAGGGTTTTTCGTACATTGATAATCTCTTCCATGATATATTCTTCTTCTTATACCAGTTTCTCCATTATAATCATTGTTACAAAAATTGCAATCATAGCTGAAATGGTCCCTGATTATTAGGTACTTCTGTGGTTGGTTTCAGAAGTCAACAAAAGATGACCATTGATCAAGTTTCTCAAATGGAGAAGGTATATTTTTCCTTTTGTTCTGTGGTGTGAAATTCGAGTTTTAGCCTAAAATTCTTAATGTCGTCTTAGTTTTTACACATGCAGCACCTTTGATTTTTTTTAACAGATTAAATTCGGGTAAGAACCTTACCTTACCTTATGACTGTTACCATGGTTGATGTTACTTGCATTCTTGGTGGAGATGCAATCATATAAAAAATTAAAAAAGGGAAAGATATAATGGTGGACATATTTCTTTTCTTTAAAAATACATACCTTTATCTAATCCCTTGTTTCTGTTGTGAAAAAAACACCCGGAGGGAGGGAGAGAGAAATAAAGCATAAGAAAAGCGGTTCTATAAATCTCAAATTTTATTGTTTTTATTAGAAAATGTTATATTTATTACATTAAAGATATAAAACTGTGATCAATATTTTTTAAAATAATTTACTATTATTAAATACTTAAATTTAGGCCCAAGTTGAGATACTATATTTTAAGGAATTTAAAAGTTTATTATATACTCTCAAAGTTTAAATATGTTTTTACTTTGCACATTTTAGTAAAATTTTAATTTTAATCTCTTTAAACATTTTTTTAATTTCTACTTTTTATAAATTTTTATTTTTAATTTTTAATACTGATTTGATCTGTTAAAATATTGTCATGGGTTGGTTTTTGATTTAATCACATTGGCATTATAAACTAAAAATAAAAATTTATAAAACAAAATGATTATAAAACACACTCATATATATAGAGATAGAAATAGGCCTTATCTGTTTAATAATTTTAAAGCTTAAGCCTGTCCTATTACCTGTCATAAGCTTTTTATTGAGCCTAGCCTGACATTTTTAAAAGATTGATTTGGCTTATTAGCCTATTTAACAGCTTACTTTGTATTGCTATATTCAATAGATCATTAAACTTCTTTGTAAATAAGCTATTAAACCATCTAAATAGGCATATTTTTTTTAAAAATTTATAAGGTTTATATCTAAATAAACTATTAGAAAATATGTAAAAAATACTTTCTTCAACTCTAATGTAAAGGATTATGACTTTTAGTTTAAGATTTTATATTTTAAAATTTAATTGATTTAATATATTATTATATTAGAACTTTTATATAAAATTATTTAATATATTATTATAAATTTTAAATAGGTCATTCTGATAGGTTTAATAGACTTTTTCTTAAACTCAAGTTTGACCTATTTAATTAATTAAATTTTTTAAAAAGCCTAAATTAAGCCTATCAATTAAATAAATTAGGTCGGGTTAGGTTTTAAAAAGGTTAAGTTGTAAGCTCTTATTAGACGGTTTGACCTATTTTTATCTCCACATATATATATATATATATAAATTATCTTCTCACGTTAGTATAAATTTAAAAACTCTTATACTCAATTTAAACCTTTCATTTAATTTACATTTAATCTTCATAAATTAAATGTAAATAAAAAATATTTTAAAATGCGACACCTTGATCCAATATGCAATAAAATGCGTCTCCCTTAGTTTTTTTATTGAATAGGCAGTAAAGGGTTTCACGTTTCACGTGACATTAACAACTAGCACGTTGATGAAGTAAAAGTTTCATAACGAGAAAAAGGGAGTGAAGTCTTTTGTTTCGCTACCACACAGCTTCCTTAACAGCTTTAGAACTAAGCCTAGGCAATTCCATCGTAAGTGACCAAAACCTATTAATCTAGAAAGCGGAGTGATATTTTGGGATGGTTGTAAATGGGTTACGTTTAAACAACACTTAAAAATAGGTTAAAAATGGGTTTTTGTGGTTCCATTTACGTTTTGAAAGTAAACTCAGTGGTAACTATATCCAACCGAATAGTGCATATAAAATAAAAAAATTTAAAAACCCTAAAAAAGGATAACCTTATCTTGCTGCCCCTACTTTATTTTTTCTGCAATGCACAGTTCCACGTCTCTCTTTTCTCTTACGAGTTATTGTCCAACGATACTTTCTTTTATTGTAAGAATATGCAATGTATAGGGTGTCTATAGCAAGAAATACGAACGCATCTTTTAGGATTGGTGAGCAAATAAAAATTTAGTAATTATTTAAATATAAAATTATTTTTAATACACTTAAGAATGACTTTGTATTCCCTCTCAATTTTTAGGACACCACATATTTTACTTATTTTTAATTTATCAATTAACCAACAAAGTTTAAACTAGTAATTTATCACTTTTTTTTATTAAATTTACTTTGTATCATTTAATAATGTTCTTACAAAAATAGTGCACTATCTTATAGGATAGTTGATTGTATTAGAATATGATAAAAGAAATTTTGTTTGATAAGAACTTTACATCATAAATAATTTTGAATGTTTTTCTTCATTTTAATCACTGAATTTATATTATATAAATAACATTTTTATTAATTTTTTCACGGTAACGTAGAATCAATCCTAATTATGTAAATTTGGAGGACACTATTCTGATGCCTTTAAAATTTGAAGAGTATTAATATCCTCTGCTAAGTGGCAGAATATAATAGGTCTCATAACTTTTTTAAGGGAAAGTAATTATTTAAGGGGTGTGTTAAGTTTGTTCAAGCTTAGAATACACAACAGGAGAATTTGGGATTCTATCACCTAATTAGAATCAAACTAAAAATTAAAAATTAGATTATATGTGAGGACTATATTACAATGTTAAAAATTTCATCGTTACAATGGTATAGCATAGCAAGCACACTTGTGGTTAGGGCATTAGATTTTAGTCAGGGATTCCAAAACCCTCCAATTTAACGAGGTACTCAAGAAATCTTCATAATATAATATAATTTCCAATTTAAACCTCCAACCACATGATATATGTGAAACCAAGTAGTTTTGAAGTTGTTGATGTTATAGTAAGACAACCTTCTTAAGGCATTTCACTATTCTAGCAAGGACTGAACCAATGCCATGACGAAAAAAAGAAAAGAAAGAACCAATGCAAATTGATCCGTGCAAGACACATGTCCATAGCAACGAAATCCAAAACGATGACAATTTGAAAATCAAATTCCATTTCCATAGTCCAACATTTATTTTTTATATTTGTTCTGCATCATTAAGTTATTTTTTGTAGGAGAGTATGTACCACAAAAGTGAATTGCTAGGCATGAAATAGAATGCAAATTTACACAAATTCCCACAGTCATTTAACATTTCATTACATTGATATGAAAAATTATCCAAATTCAATCCTCAATCTCTACAGACATTGAAGAATCAAGAATTATGTAGGTGTGCATAAAAAACCTTTTTCTTTCACATATATGAATGACTATGCTACTATTACAGCTACATAACTGACACTTATAATTCAGTAAAGAGGACACCCCTCAATTATGATCTCTTGAGCGGTAGGACATGAAGCTAATGGACATCCATCCGAGTCATTGCCCCACCAGTTTAGGTTGATCTGCTCCATCCCTAAACACAAGTAAAGTAGCACTCCCATGAAGGCTAATCCAGCATCAAGTCCTCCAGATAAAGCATAGTTATGTCGGCTCCACCATCCACGATAGTAGCGGTAAGCAATAAACCCTGAGGCAAATCCAACAAGAACCCAACTAGTGTAGTTCACTGGTGTACCTGGAGGCATTTCAGCAACTGCTGCCAATAGCACAGGAATATTGACTAGTCTAATCCATTGTCTATTTGGAAAGGCCTTATGTGCTACCCAAACTAAGGTAGGAGCAATAGCCCCAACTAAAAAGAACCAATTGATGGCCGTGTAATGTCCAATATCTCCAAAAATTCTACGAGGCCCTATCAAGCCCCATATCACAGACGCATCATAGAATACATGATCACTTGGGCATGTCCATGGGCTACCCACTGGAAGCAACTCTCTATTGCATATATTTGGAATAGTGTTAATGAGCCACCAAGCTGTTCCTAAATGCATCAATGCAGATATAGTGGTCCCAAGAATCTAAAAAGGAGTAATGCAAGTGAAGGAATGATATTACATACTAGAGTGATTACAATTAGGACTCAATTGGAAATAAAAAAGGAAAATAGATACTTTCAAAAGCTACGTGAGATGTGCATAATGTGGAGTGTGGACTATTTAGCAACAAGTTTCAGTGGGACCAAGCAATATTCAATGACTTGCATCTGACTACTTACGAATATGTAAGTGAGAAATTATGCAAGTATCGTTACTCAACCTAAAAAATTCACAAGGAGATTAGGATTGCGAACCTGTGCTATGAACATCACTCTAGGAGGAATCTTCATGTAATGGCCAAGCTTGAAGTCTTGTAAAAAAGAAATCCCCTGTCTCATACTTCCGTTCCCATACACTTTAAACAGGATGTTAGCAATAGGATATCCCGGGTAGATGTATCCAATTATATACTCTGTTATCACATTCAAAGCTGGAGCCTTCCCAGGAATGGAGAAAAATGTTGACGTTACCCATTTGATAATACAAGGGACAATATTAAACTACTTCCAATCATGAGAGGCAACGTAACACCTTTATTTTTTAAGCCTTTCAAAGTTAACCTTTGTAATAGCATCATAAGAATTTGTCATTAAATAATCAAAACCAGAACGTGTATGTTATAGCATAGACCAGTACCTGATTTGTTGTGGCTCTTATTATTCCAATTGGAAGTGTGAACAACATGGCAACAGCACAAGCTAATAGCACACCCCACCATGGCAGCTGGAGTTTGTCGTCAAAATACTCACACATAAACATAATTACCGTGATGTTGAACAAAAGAATGCAAACAAACCACCATTCAGGAACTTGCTTATAATGCTTTCTCATAAGCTTTGTGTGTATATCTATCTTCTCTTGGAAAGCAGACTTGCTAAGTTTCAATATTTCACTGCACCATTGGATCACTTATTTCAACCACATTGACAAAGTAGATGGATTAATCAATGTTCAAGATAAAAAGAAATGTGAAACTTGTACCTTCCATGGAAGAGCAACACATGTACAAGGGTTGCTGAAAGGCAAGCAAAACCAAACCCATATGCCATAGCAAAGTTGATGCTAAGATAAAGAGGGCCATGTCGCTCATAAGTTTCTAAGTCAAGGTGAAAATTGGAGTCTATAATATCTGAGATGTTGTATTTTTTGCCATTGGACATGAATAGATCATCTGAAAATATAGGAAATCTTCTTGCCTCATAGATATTCAGCCAATAAGCAATGGGTGTAAGTACATATATGAAAATAACAAAACCAACAGCGACATTAACCGTAGCAAACCAAGGACTAGCCAAAGGGCTACCAAGATAAGCACTTATAGTGGACCAATCGAAACCAACAACTCCAAGTCCAAGTCCATGCAGCCCTGAACCTAACTGTTGTGCTATAATAGAAGTGGGAAACACCCAACAGATCCAGGAAAGTGATGTTAACATAGGGAACAAGTAGCCTGGAAACACATAATAAGCAAAACTACAAACAAATGCTATGAGAAAGAACTGATTCCGAGTTAACCCGCCCTTTGGCCTCTCTTCTTTCTCGTGTAGTGCCCTGGCATCCATTATTTTGTGCAAAAATTATCAAATTGATTGCAAAGCATGGAATTAGAAATAAAAGACCACAAAATAATATTCATTTATCTTCACAAATGTAAATTTCTCAATAAAAGAATGCTACAACATGTCCTTCATCTTTATTATCGAGTAAAATGTACATAAAGTCTCAATAATATATGAGTCGCAACCTTATTTAGTGTATTTTAAATAAATTTCTACCACTAAAACATGTTCATTAATACATAAAATGAATATTGTCACCATGAGAAATGTTCTCCATTCTGTCAGTTACTGTGCTCAGTACAAAGTCCTTTAAGTTGTATAAATTTGATATTAAAGAAATGAACTAATATCAAGCTAGAAGCATTATTTAGGTATAATCACATCATTCAGTGAGCATGATAGTTATTCTCAAATATGTGTGTGACATCATTACTCTAGCAATTATAGTGACATGATTGTTTAAATAATGTTCAAAAACAGAAAAAGATGCACTCAACTATAGTGGAACAACATTTCAACGTGGGTGAAAATTTTTAAATTTGAAATAATTTCAAAATTAGAGAACAAGTTGAGATATAAAATTTGAAAATTAAGGTGTTTAGTTATAAAAAAGAAAAATTTATTTTTAGTTATAAAAATGTTATCTTATTTTTAGTTTATGTCTTGTCTTTAAAATTGTGTATAAAAAGTAAATTTTTTATTATTTTACTATTTTCTATACTAAAATAAATTGATATTATAATAATTAAAAGTAAAAATAAAAAATCAGTATAAAATATATTTTCTCAAAAGCAAACGGCCGTTAAAAAAAATTTCTTACAATTTATTTGATTTGAGAAAGAGAAAAAAAAAACTTGGATAAGAAGAAAGTGTTTAAAAAAATAGGTAAATTTTAAGTTATTTGGTAAGAGAAGAATATAAAAAGAACATAAATCGAAACAAAAGTACATTTTAGTAAATTATAATTATTTCTAATTGGTAATTTTTACTTTTAGTGTATTTTCCTACGTTTTTACCTTTTCTTAACTTGAGTCTCTAAAACATTGCCACCCTCGGTGATCTATATCTATACAGGACACAGAGCACAACTTCAAGAAGTACTATTTGTTAAGCTATAAATATATTTTTATCCTCCACTTTTTTAATATTTCATCCAATTATTTCACTCCTTTCTTACACTATTCGTCCAATTCAAAATTTTTAACTTTATTTTTAAAAGAAATAGAAACATTGTATATATACATCATGTTAAATAAAAAATTATAAAAAATATATTAATATACGAATAACAGATGTGAAAACTTTAAAATAATATATAATTAGTATAATATTTAAAGGATGATTCATAAAATACATAAAATGTAACTTATTTTTGAAATTTTTATTTATCAATTGTATTTTTAAATAATAATTTATATTGCAGTAAACGTATTATTTTAAAATATTTAAATAATCTAACACAAACAGATAAATATAAAAGATCAATAATATTGTTATATAAAAAATGTAAAGTAATACTTTTGTTTATTTAGATATGCAGCTCTCAAAATCATACGATAAGCAAGGATTTAACATCTTAAATTTTATTGAGTTTTAACTGATTATTATATAAATTATTTTATTTATGAGTATAAAGTGTGAGTGAGAATTCAAAACTTTATTTGATATCTAAATTATAAATTCTATAGAATTAAATTAGAATAAAAATCGATTAAAATTGCTTTATTAAAATTTTTCATTCCAATAGCTTAACTTTCATTGGTTATTAAAAGTGCAGTATGTAAAACAGTTAACACATAAAGAAACTAGAACGGTGGTATAACCAACCCAGATCTAGTGAAGGGAGAAGAGAAAAATGCCGGAGCGACGGTAGTCCGAACAGGACCGGCTAAGAGGGAGAAGAGAGGAAAGTAATTTGAAACAGCAAATTTTATTGAAAGATCTCAAAGAAGAAGAAGGCTTACAAGAAGTTTTTCTCTCAGAGCTTCTCTCTCTTAAATCTCTCTTATGTTGCTAAATGAAAGGGTACCTCACAATGTGGTCGAGGCCTCCTTATAAAGGAAATTAAAAAGTACTATTTCTACAGTTTCGGTTGGTAACTGGAACTATTAACTATAGTACCGGTTTCTAAAGATCATGGATGTCAATACCGAAACAATCATCTTCATTTTGATTTTCTTCAATATTGGCATCTTGGTTAGAAGATTCTCCTTCTTCTTGGCTTTGCAATAACAGGAGAACGTCTTGAAGATTTTTCTTCATTTTTTCTTTGGTATCGCATCCTGATAAGAATGCTGCAATTTTGGATTTCTGATTAAGGAATTGAAATGTTACTGGGTCAACTAGATTTAATAATTTGGGATTTTTCCCAAAATATTCAGCAACTCCTTCTGGTCCGGCATGTTCCGCATTGAATTGATTCCACCATTTTACAAAGGAATACCTGTACAACAAAGGGAGAGTGTCTTCATTTTCTGTCTTGCCATATCTGTATTGCCATGAGAATACCCATGCTAGGGCAAAGTCAGAGAAGTATTTAAGATCTGCTGGAATTCTTGATTCTCGCAGATATCTGCCTTTGTAAATTTTGTATCCTTCTTTGACAGGTGTGGGAAGGATGTCTTCAATTGGCCCAAAATAATCCCACCATTGGAGGAACCAATTTGGAAAGTCATAATTCTGATTCCTTTTAAAATATATTAACCAAGAATGTCGGTTAAGTTTATTTTGGAACCAGAAAGTTCTTGTCCATGCGTCAATGTAATCCCAATAATTATAACCTACTGGATCGAATGGTTGGGAAAACTTTTTATAAGAATTCAGATTTTTTCCAAAAGCCTTTGGAGTTAAGACTTTCAGGATCTGGATTGTTGAATGGGTTGTAATTGAAGGATCTTTATGGTCTTTGTAGTGTTTAATGGAAACAGAATCTGAATCCACTAAAATAAACTCATAAAACTGCCTAGTTTTATTAGCCTGGTATGGTCTGAAATGAAATCCTGGTGGAAAGACTTTAGTAATTGCCTTGTATGGGTTTTTGTCCCAAAATTCAAGTTCCATTTGTATAACTGAGGAGAATTTTCCTTTAGCTACATAATGGTTAGGATTTGAAGTTTTTTGTTTTCCTTTTTGAAGGTCAAGTGTCCCTTCTATTTTATTGGTTATTGTTTTCTGGGATTGGTTGAAGGACTGGAGTATAGTGTTTAGGCTGGCTAAATCTATTTCCATATCTTCTTCAGAGGCAATGTCTGCCCATGATTTATTTGGTAGGCTACTCAAGCTTCCTTGTTGGACAGCTAAGAGTGTACTAATTGGGAGAGCATAATCTGCTTTGGTTTGTTTTGTGGTTTTGATAATAGAATCAGTCTTTTTGGAAGATTCTTTTGGAGTTCCAGATTGCTGAGTTGATGACTCAACAATTTGGATGGCTTTTTGAGTCGATGACTCAATGGGGGTAGATGACCCAGAAGAAGAGGTTTTTGAATCTGCTGAAGCAGATTGTGGTTTTGATTTGTTTAGAGTCAGGGCCAACCTGACTTTGCCTCCTCTGGTGGTTCCTCCCTTGGAAGGGGTAATTGCCTTTCTAGGCATCTTACTTATCCTATAAATATTCACGGGTAAGGTAATCAGGAAGAGAGTTTGAAGTGCCTTTGAGATACTCAATGTCAAAATCAAAAACACTTAAGATTGCTTGCCATCTTGCAAAAATTTGTTTTGAGGCAAGATTTTTAACATCCTTTTGTAAGATTTCTTTGGCAGACTTACAGTCTACTCTAATTAAAATTTTTTGATTTAATAAATCAGATTGAAATTTTGAAACGCATAAAACTATTGCTAAAACTTCCTTTTTAACAGTAGAATAATTCTGTTGTGCAGAATTCCAATGTTTTGAAGTGTATGCAATGATATGCTCATGAGACTCGATTTTTTGTTTAAGGATACCTCCATAACCTATGTCTGAGGCATCAGTTTCAACGATTTTGAAGGCTTGAGGAATGGGAAGATACAGACAATTTATCTTCCTAACTTTGTTTTTGATTTCTTTGACGACATTAGTATGGACATCAGTCCAAGGGGGAGGATTCTTTCTAAGCCTATCATGTAAAGGCTTGATGATGTTATTTAGGTGGGGGATGAAATCCCCTACGTAATTGAGGCATCCCAAAAATCTCTGTAATTGGGTTTTATCAAGAATCCTGTCAGGAAATCTATCAGCAAATTCAATGGACCTACTGATAGGGATAATGGTACCTTGGTGGATATTATGTCCAAGGAATCTGATATTGGTTTGAAAGAGACTAATTTTTGATTTTGAAACGGCAAGACCGTTTTGTTTAATAACATTGATAAAAACATTTATATGTTTAAAATGTTGATCAATGGATTGGGAAAAAAATTAAAACATCGTCAATGTAGACAATGACAAATTTTGAATAAGGATTGAAAATGTCATTCATGATTTTTTGAAATTCAGAAGGAGCATTTTTTAGACCAAAGGGCATAACATTCCATTCGTAATGCCCAAAGGGAACAGTAAAGACAGTTTTGTACCTATCATTTTCGCAAATTTGGATTTGCCAAAATCCAGATTTCATATCGAATTTTGAAAAGATCTTAGCAGAATTAAGTCTGTTAAGAAGATCTTTTTTATTGGGGATAGGATGCCTAATCCATTGAAGGGCTTGATTGAGGGGTTTGTAATTGATGACAAGTCTGGGAGTACCTCTCTCAATCTCAGCAGGTTTATTAACATAAAAAGCGGAGCAAGACCAAGGACTCTTGCTCTTCCTAATAAGATTTTTGTCTAAGAGATCTGTAATCTCTTTCTGACAATAATGAAGGAGTTCTTCATTCATCTGTATTGGTCTTGCTTTAGTAGGAATCTGGCTATCCCTAAAACCTGACTCATAAGGAAGACTGACAATATGTTTTTTCCTATTCCAGAAGGCGCTGGGTAGGTCAGAACATATAGAAGCTTGGATGTTTCTTAAA